CAATGAAAATTGATATCACTCGTATAGCTTACACAACAAAAAACTGAAAAACTGAAAGCTATGGACTATAGCAACTAGAAGACAACTTGCAAACATATGCTCAGGTTCCAATGAAAGATCATTACCTGAAAATATTAACTCAGTTTCTATCTCCACAGTTGCTGCCTGACCTGCTTTCGATACTCAATCCAAGATTTACACAAAAGACTTGATTTCTGATAACATATTTTGAAATAAAGCAAATCTTTATAGGATGAAAAGGCTTCAGGCTCACTAGTATAAATTAAGAGACTTTGGTAGGCTTCAGTATAGTAGGTAGTGGATGGGAATTGTTTGGTTTGTTAGTAATTCTGTTAATTTGTTCACTGTTAAGGTTAAATAAATAAATTGTTAGTTGTTACTTATATAGTGAATATTAGGGATTTTCTTTCATTTAACCACCCTTTTTAACAGATTATAATTTGCAACACGAGCTTCTCTCGGTGTTGCAGGTTTAATTATTAGGAGTGAACTACTGCTCCCGCCATAACAGACTGGGGGGTTGTGTTTCGGTTTAATTATCAGAAGGGTTCAAGCTCCTCTCCGTAACACACCCACAGTCCAAAGATGTGCAGATTAGGTGGACTGGTCATACTAAATTGCCCTCAGTGTCCAGGGATGTATACATTAGGTGGATTAGCTATGGGAAATGCAGGGTTACAGGAATTGGGTTCGAGGGTGGGATGCTCTTCAGAGGGTCAGTCTGGACTCGATGGGCTGAATGGTCTGTTTCCACACAGTAGGGATTCTATAACGTGTACATTTCCATAGCCTGAAGCAAACGCTCGCAAATCTGGGATAGTCTTTGAAAACTCATGCATTTTCTGTGCTGTTCAGTGCAAACACACACTGCAATGTTCAGCAGTTTCACTGCTTTTGCCACTGTGATGAAAAAAAATTCGCTCTCATTCTAACAGTCCCTGAAGAATAATTTTTAATTTCAGCAGATTGCCATGATATCTCAGTACTTTCTTGCCCCTTACCTCATCTAATTTAGCATTATCTCATCTGTTACACATTAATTCTGTTCTTTGAAACACTGTCACAACTATTATTGACTAGCTCTGAAATATCAACTGAGCCTAAACTTCATCAAATTAACTCCACCTCCAACACCATCTTCAAAATTCTTAAACTTTCAGAGGGTTGCAGGGATGGAGGAGTTTGCAGACAGTGGAAAGCAAGATCATGAAAACATCTGAATATCAGAATGAGAATTTTAAAATTGTGGACCAGGTAGAGCAAGCACAGCACCAATATTGAGTGGGAAGTAACTGCAATTAATAACTGACAAATTTCAGAGAAAACAAGAACATGTAAAAACAAAAGCAAAGACATGCTTTTACTATACAATGCCCTTTCAATTACAGTGATAAATGATCTTGCTTTGAAGAATCAATTTGGATAAGGATAATTGTAAAAAGAAAAACATCACTGACAGTCATTTGTAGGACCCCTGACAGTAGCTATACAGTAGGAGAGTAAAAGTCAAGAAATACTGGGAGCTTGGAAGAAAGGTATTGTGATAATTGTTGAAGACTTTAATCTTTGTATGCATCAAATGAATCAATGGCAAGGTAGCCTGGAAAATGACTACGTCGAATGCATCCAGCATATTTTCTGACAGCAAAACATTCTGTAATGATAAGATATATAAAGATACTTGATTAATTAATAGGGTCATGGTAAAGGCCTTTCCAGGTAAGAGTGATCCGAATATCATAGTATTTCACATTCAGTTCAAAGATAGGTCTGAAACTTTGAAATATGGCTGGGCGTAAAGACAAAGTTGGCTAAAGTGGAACTGGGAGAATAGGTTAAAAGGTAAGATGGAGAAAAGCAGTCATAGACATTTAAGGAAGTATTTCATGACTGCCAGCAAATATAAAAGACAAATAGAAAGTAGAAGGACAAAGATGCATCATCCATCTAAACAAGGCAGTTAATGGTGATATCAAATTGAAAGAAAATATGCACAATGCTGTGAAGGTTAATGGTGGCCTAAAAATTGGGAACATTCCAGAACCTAGCGAAGGATGATGTTTAAAAAAATGGGAGAAATTAGAATGAGAGAAAATTAGCAAGAAATATAAAAAAGACAGTAAAAGTTTTGACAAGTATTTTAAGGAAGTGTAGCTAATGGAGGGTGAGAACGCAGAATAAACACTGGAAAATAAGGACGTGGCAAAGATGTTAAGCCAGCATTTTGCATTTGTCTTCACAACAGAAGACATAAAAAGCATCCAACACTAGAAAATCAAGAGGCAAAAGGGAGGGATGAATTTAAGTATTAGGAAAACTAACGAACTAAATGCCAACAGCATTTTAAAGAAGTGGCTTTATAATGATAGGAGATAATGGATGAGTTGACTGTAATAATCCAGAATTCCCTAGATCCTGGAAAGGTCCTGGTTGACTGAAACCCCACAAATGTAATATCTACAGGCGAGAAGGCGGGCTTGCTCTGAGCAGACACAGGGCATATTTTGGACTATGCAATTATTTTTTGAAGTAAAATGTTGTAAAATATTTATGTCACTTACTATTGTCAAAAGTCAGTTGGATTTTAAATGCAATTTTTTTAAAAAACATATTTATTGGTTACATAAAACTTGTGTGCCATGTATAAAATAATGCCCATGATTTTACTTCAGTTTTTATTATAAGGCATAATGCTAATGCCACTGGACTAGTAGTCTGGCAGCATAATTTATGCACTGTAGATACACATTCAAATTCAAATTAAATTTAAAACTGTAACTATTTTTAAGGCATATTTAGACAAAATGTTCAGGATCAACTTTTACAGAAGTAATGTTTTTGACAGTCAGCAAAGAACTGTTATGTATTCAGTCTTTCAGTTTCAAATGCTTGCAGCTTATATGGGAATGTTCTATAGTAAAAAGGAAGCCCAAAAAAAACTACACTTTTAGTAATCCCTTTACTCTGGGCCATAGGACTGTAGGAACAGTTCAGTAAGCTTAGTTCCTTTTCTGGGAAAGTTAAATGTGCTTGGTGGTCACACAAATTGTATATGTTATTTTGAGGTTTTTTCTGATCTTAGCTCTCCCATTTCAATGAGAATTAAACTTTCCCAACACCTTAGTGGAAAAATTGCACTCCACGATCTAACCATAAAGGAGATACAACAGAAAATTCCTGCTTCAAATCCTGGTTGCTGAGGTACAACTGAACACAAGTGGGGAAGGGAGCTGAGTTGGAGTGAAACATACTGGAAACTTTGAGGTCAAAAATTAGAAGCCAAATTTAAACAAGATTTAACAGTGTCTACAAAACTACTATATGATAGTAAAACCCATCTAGTTCACCATTCTTACCCAGTCTGGCCTAAAGATGACTCTATTCATACAGCAATATGGTTCACTAATAAATGATCTCTGAAGTAGCTTAGCAAGTCATTCAGTTATATCACAAAAGCAAAATAATCCAAACACAGGAAATTGGAAATCAAATTTGAAATTTGAAATTCTCAGTACATTTGGCATCATATGTGACAACACAGTTAGCAGTTCAGGTCAATGACCTTCCTGTCCTGATGAAATGTCATCAACTTGAAAACTCATTCTGTTTCTTTCTATGGTTGCTTCCTGGCCTGCTGAACATTTCCAGTTTTTATTTTGTTTTAATTTGGTTTTATCAGACTGCTACAGAAGAAAACAAAAACAGATCACCAGGTACCAGAAACGTGAAAGGCACACTTTGCCCAGTCAATCCTACAAAGTCCTGCTAATTCCTAAGGGCTTACAACAAAACTGAGTAAGTGATATCAACAGACTGACTAGTCAATCAACAGCCTGACATAATTATAATAATCAAATCACATCTTAGAACAACAAAAATTCACTGTATTGAATCTTGGAAGGGGACGGTTGCCATGAGAATAATTACAGAAGGGTTTATATGCTGCAGAGTTTAGAAGACTAAGTGATCTTGTTGGAATTAAAAGCTCCGAGAAGGCTTGATGCTGATACGCTATCGTGTATTCCGTCTCAACGGTAAGTCGTCAGCCACGAGCAGTCTTCATAGAATCATAGTTACAACAGAGGAGAATGACATTTGAACGATAGAGTCAGACTCTGTGCCAATTCTCAACAAGAATAATTTAGTCGGACCCATTCTCCCACTTTTCCTCCACAGCCCTCCCCATATGTCTTTCCATTCAAAATCTGATGAAGGGTGATGGAAGGTCATCGACCTAAAACGACGTCTCTATCATGCTCCGTCCACAGATGCTAACAGACCTGTTGAGGGTTTCCAGCCATTTCTATTTTTACTTCATATTTCTAGCACCCGCAGTATTTTGCTCTGGAGTTTAAAGAGGGTCACGGTCTTTTTTTTCCTCTCTCGTGCGTAGATTGTTCCATTGAAACCTGAACTCCAGCCGGACCTGGCTACCCATAAGATATAGGAGCAGAATTAGACCATTCGGCCCATTGAGTCTGTTCCGCCAACTGATCATGGCTGATCTGATTCTCAGCCCCATTCTCCTTCCTTCTCCCCGTAACCCTTGATTCCTTTACTAATCGCTTCTTTAAATCAACAATAATAAGACTGCGTTGTAACAGTGCGATGCTACACACTACTGAATCTGTAAACCAGCTACGCTCAATGTAACCTTGCACCGGCCACCTTCCATCAGGGAGATTCAACGGCAAGTGCACGAAATCTGACAGCCCGGCGCCACTCCCTCTCAACACGCATCCGATGTTTATTTTTGGAGAGAGAGAAGAGGGGAAATACAGTGAATTTTTGGGCGACAGTTCTGGTCTTGATTCCCCTTCCCCTCCCCGATCTTTCTCACTCACCCTTCCTCACAGACAGGGACATGTCGCCGGCAGCCGCTTCAAATGCAGCGACCGCCACCGGCGCCCGCGTGACGTCAGCCGCAAACACACATATGACGGTTTCGGGCGGGACGAAACCAGTCGCCAAGGCTCAAGTCGGAACCATTCGTTGTGCGACTCTCTCTATGGTTCGGCGGTGAAAAACACGGGTGCTCACGTGACGGATGCGGTGGGGTTTGTGATGTCACGCGCATGCGTAGTATGACGCGCTGCCTTGTCCGAGGCGCAATCTCGGTTCCTACCCTTTTATGTGGGTAAATAGACGTCTCTCTAAAACCTGTGTTACGCTTTCAGCTGTTGGAAGTAGAAGGTGGGTACGGGACCGTGTTGGGGAGCTGGGCCTGTTTGTCGTTTCCATTAAGAGAAATTGCGATTAATAAAGAACATTGTGTCGGTTGGTGGTGAGGGGAGCTGGGGTGATTCATTAGGCCCCAGTACCACTCGTTTATCCCTGTCACAGGGCAGCTTATACTCAGGAGACTATAGAGTTTCCTGAGATGCATAGGTAATGGATCACTTCTGCTGGCCCAGAAACAGTTCTGTTGAAAGAGAGCAGCAAAGGATTTAAATGGTGTAGCTGTGTTGAATCAGCGAGGTGAGCTATACTTAAACAGACTTCTATCGAGAGAAGGAGGTATTAGTGGACCTAAAAGTGGATAGATCCACAGCCCCTGGTAAGATATATCCCACGCTGCTCTGGGAACCAAGAAAGTAAGAGATCAGGAGTTTGTCATTTATTTTCAAATTCTTTCTGATCTCAGGAAAGATGCCAGAGGACTGGAGGATGATGAATGTGGTACCATTTCATAGAAGTAGTTGGGATAAACTGAGACACTACAGGTCATTGAGTCAAGCGTCAGTTGATTTGATTTATTGCAGCACATGTACCTAAGTGCTGTGAAAAAGTTTGTGAGCGGTACAGGCAGATCATAGCAAGCAAGGACATACAGGTCATAGGGTGCTTAGAGTGAGGTATACAGGTTACATTGCATGGGAGGTGCATGCAGCAAAATCAACATTAACAGCAGCAACATTATTTGAAGTTACAAGAGTCCATTTATCAGTCTAATGATAGGGAAGAAGCTATTCTTGAATCTGTTGGTATGTGTTCAGACTTCTGTATCTTCTGCCTGACAAAAGAGGTTGTTGGAGAGCATTACTGTGGTGGACGGGTCTTTGATGTTGGCAGCATTTCTGTGGCAACAAGAAGTGTGAATGAAGTCCATGGATGGGAGGTTGGCTTCTGTGATGGTCTGGGCTGTGCACACAACCTTCTGTAGTTTAGGAAAGTTATTGGAAAAATTCTAAGGGTCAATTAAGCACCCCTTAGAGAGACAGGAATAACCCAGGAGAGTCAGCATGGGTTTGTCAGGTGGAGATCATGTCTAACAAATTTTGTTGAATTTTTCAGAATTGACTAGGTACATAAGATGAGCGTAGTGCCGTTGTTATAGTTTACGTGGATTTCATAAACCTTTTGTCAAAGTATTACATCAGAGACTGGAGTAGAAGCTAAAAGCCTGTGGGATGCAGGCAATTTTGCAAATTGGATTCATAATTAGCTTAGTGGGAGAAGGCAAAGAGGCATGGTCAAAGATTGTTTTTGTGACTGGAAATCTGTGTCCAATGGGGAACCGTAAGATTTGGTGCTGGTTCCCTTGCTGTTTGTGATATGTTTCATGGATCTATACATGATTGCAGAAGGTTCATCAGTAAATTTGCAGATGATGTAAAAATTAGTAATGGGGTCACTAGGAAGGAAGAACATGTTAGACTACAGAATGATACAGGTGCACTGGTTGGATGGGCAAGACAATGGCACTTGGAATATAATCCTGAATAATGAGTTGATACATTTTGGGAGGATTAACAAGGCAAGGGAGTGCACAATAAATGATAGAATCCTTGAAAGTGCAGGGCATCAGAGGGACCATGGTGTTCAAGTCCATTAGTTCTTACAGGTGGCAGAATGGGAGACAAGATTGTTAAGATTGTTAAGAATGCTTACAGGATACTTGCTTTTCTTTGTCAATGTGTTGAATGCAAGAGCAAGGAGATTATGATGGAACAGTATAAAATATAAGTTAGGCCATAGCTGGAGTACTGTGTACATTTCTGGTTGCTACACTATTGGAAAAATGATTGCAGAGGAAGGTGCAGGGGACATTCACCAGCATGTTAGATAACAAGGTGTAGAGCTGGATGAACACAGCAGGCCAAGCAACATCAGAGGAGCAGGAAAGCTGACGTTTCGGGCCA